AAGTCACCCAGCTGGCTTTCATGCCAAAGGCAGGACTAGAACTCCCTATCTCTTGGTGATGGGCCCAAAGTCACGCAGCTGGCTTTATAGCTGAGGTGAGTCTAGAACTCCCAGTCTCCTGGTGATGGGCCCCAAGTCACCAAACTGGCTTTCATGCCAAAGGCAGGACTAGAACTCCCTATCTCCTGGTGATGGGCCCAAAGTCACCCAGCTGGCTTTCATGCCAAAGACAGGACTAGAACTCCCTGTCTCCTGGTGACAGGCCCAAAGTCACCCAGCTGGCTTTCATGCCAAAGGCGGGACTAGTACTCACCGCCTCCTGGTGATTGGCCCAAATCCAGCCTGCTTTCATGTCTAAGCTGGGACTAGAACTCCCCCTCGCCTGGTGCTTGGCCCAAAGTCATCCAGCCAGCTTTCACGCCGTCTCCCCTGTTTCCTGGCCCAAGCACCCTCATGCTGAACTGCCTCTCCTTGTGGCCCCCTTTTCGCACATCCCCCCCCCCTTGCGTTCTTCTGGCTCAGATACGTTGCCTTGACCTCCCGTCGACAAAATAACCTTGCTGCGTGGTGTCCAGATTGTGACTTTTTCTCCTCCTGCCAGGAACTGCCCTAAGAATGGTGGCTCGAGCAAGAGAGGGGTTTTTTTTTTTGACCGGGAAGAAAATGGCCAAGATGACTCTTCCGGGAAGACCAACCTCTTTCCCCATCCTTCAGCGAAGAGATTTCCCATTAGCAAGGCCCCTGACACACACACACTCACACAAACACACACACACACACCAGCTTTTGGTTGTGTTGTGCACTCAGCATGTCGTTTTGTTGTTATTTAGGTCACGACGGCCTGGATTAAATGGGGCACTTCTCCTTTCTGAGAGCGAGAGAGAGAGAGGCACTCCGTAATTCTGATTCAGCAGGCAATTTTAGGCATCTTTTGTTTTCTCCCGGGCATAAACAACTCCTGGCGGATTCCCATTTCTCTTTACCTGGCTCGTCATTTGCCCACCTGCCACGGTAGATCCTGGGGGTGGGGGGTGGGGAACCAGGAGAGGTGCGTCTGATTTCGGAGGCACGTTTTAGGTCGGTGATGGTGAACCTTTTCAGCACTGAGTGGCCAATCTGGAATACTCGTGCCTGAGCGCCGTATGCTCAAAAACCAGCTGGCCGGTGCGTGCGAACCTGTTTTTTGGGGGGCCAAAAATGGCCTGGGTGTTTTGGGGGTGTTTTTTTTGGGCCGTTTTCAGGCTGTTTTCCGGTGCTCCAGCGCCCGCAAGCACCAGCTGCCAGAAACCAGAACATCTGGAGAAGGCACGCATGCCATGGGTTCACCATCGCGAAGGGTTTTAGGTTCAGAAAACTGCAGAGGAAACGTGGCCCATCTTGATTGAGGGAGAAGTGTTTGTGGCTCAGGGTTGAACTTTCTGCAAAGTCCTTGGTGCTCTCTGTGCTGGGGGGGGGAGGGGTTCCTTGCAGACGTCTCATGACCCAACTAGGGAACACCATCAGTGCTAGAATGGAAGGGGGGGTTGCTCTCTCTTTATGTACAAGTGACTCGCACTGTCAGTGTTCTTAGAGGTTCCTTGGTGAGGCTGCAAGACAAGCACCAAGATTGGAGAACTCCAAAAACTCCTCCTCCTCCTCCTCCTCCTCCTCCTCTCTAATACTGATGATGTTCCCCAGTTGGGTCATGAGACGTCTGCAAGGAAACCACCCAGCTCAGAGAGCACCAAGGACCCCCCAGTCCTTCCTCCTTCCCCCCTTCTAGCACCGATGATGTTCCCCAGTTGGGTCATGAGACGTCTGCAAGGAAACCACCCAGCTCAGAGAGCACCAAGGACCCCACATTTCTTCCTCCTTCCCCCCTTCTAGCACCGATGATGTTCCCCAGTTGGGTCATGAGACGTCTGCAAGGAAACCACCCAGCTCAGAGAGCACCAAGGACCCCACATTTCTTCCTCCTTCCCCCCTTCTAGCACCGATGATGTTCCCCAGTTGGGTCATGAGACGTCTGCAAGGAAACCACCCAGCTCAGAGAGCACCAAGGACCCCACATTT